GCCCCCCCCCCCCCCCTCCTCCCCCTACTGTCAGATTAACAAACCAATCAGAACAGACAAATCTGGGTTTATAATGTTTAAACAAAAACACAAACTGACCAATCCTGACAAACATCCCTTATCAGCGTCTCTCTCTGTGAAGTTCCACAGGCCTCACTGTGAGAACTTTTTATCTCGGTGTCAGTGTTGTATTTTCACACAGTGTGTGTGTGTGTGTGTGTTTATGTACCCACCAGTGTTGCTCTTTCCTTGTGATGATCTGACCTCTTTGAACCAGGCTCAAGGTTTTTCCCTGTGTGGAAAAAAAAGGGGAATTTTACCACAGCATATTCCTCTGACAGTGCAGTCTGACAAACAAACCCTGGTCTATTCACCTGAGGAAATGCAGCTTTGTAACAGGTCTCGTCTGCTGTACATAAATTCAAATCAAATGACATGTGGGGAACCAAAAAAAAAAAAAAAAGATTTTGTTAACTTTGTCTTAAATCTGCCAAAGACTATGAAATCATTTCTATTAAAAAAAAGAGTTTCTGTTCTTATCAACTGATTTGGTTACTTCAAATAATCTTTTGTACTTTTGCAACCAATTTGTAATGCATGAGTTTTAATCAGTGATCTGAACAGGATGTAACCCTCGTAGAGAGCTGCAGCCTGGGTGCAGTTCCAATGCTGACCAGCAATGAACTCTGGTTTACATACAGTCATATAAAAAAAAAGAAGGATTATTTAGGGATTAGGTGTGGTCCGATGTTAGTGGTGTGACGGATGTAGTTTGAAGCAGGAGGACAGACACAGTTACAGTTGATAAACTCTGGACTTTGGTCCATTGTTTGTTTTATCGTTAGCTTCTTTTCAAAGAGTTCACAGTTTAAAAAGCTTCCAATTTTATGAGCCTAAACATTTAGGCTGGTGCCCTCTGTCAGCAAGAACACTAGTCCGACTGTTCTCCACCACACTGTCAGAATTGTCATTAGGTGAAACACGTCAAATCCAATTACCCGTCATTATCCGTGTCCTGGCTTTAATGGCCGCTAGGCTGCATTTCTAAAGCGTTTTTTAGAGAGACACACCGGACATGTCACGTGGTAATAAAAAAATAAAACAAGACACAGAAAACTTTGTGCTGAAGTTAATGTCATGTTGTAAAATTTATAATGAGAAAATTCCTTGCAGGCTGAGTCTGTGTGCAGTATTTCATGCTGCAGTAGGTGAGTAGGTGTAATGATTCTTTAAGATCCTTTGGGGGGGGGGGGGCAGAGAGGGGCCCCCAGCAGCAGCAGATGGGAGCTCTTGCTCTGCCCCACCATAGTAATAAATTTGCCTCTGTGTGCTACTGTACCGTGTGTGTATGTGTGTGTGTTTGCTGAGTAGTACTGTACCAGGATTAGTCAAGTGTTCACTGGTGTGTGTGTATGTGAGTGTGTGTGTGTGTGTGAGTGATGGTCGTGCAGGCAGCGTATGTGTACGGTTCTTTCTCATCCACCGTGTTCGCTGCCAAACTAACATTTCATTTCTGACTCCGCCTCTTCCTCGCCATGTGGATTCCATTATAGTCAGTTATATTTTCCTCCACATGCTCCTTTGTGCCCCCCCCCCCCCCCCCCCACCCACACACACACACACATGCAGGGGAAATCAATCTGTCCACAGAGAGCCTGAGTTCTCGACTCGACTGCAGCGAGAACTCAACAAGAAGGGAGTAAATTCACGGTTCTTTTCTTTTCCTTTTTTTCCCCACAGACACTCACTGTAAAATGAGAACTCTAAATCTTCAGCCAACGGCAGCTTATGTAATACTGGCTGTGGAGTAAAACAGGATCCGATCATCCATGTTAATATATGAGGAAACATGTGGACAAGTTGAAATGAGACACTTTAATGTGAGGGCAAAAGTCATGAGTAATGGAAGGGACCGTGTATTAGCTGTGGAATTTTTTTTTTTTTTTTTTTTTGGTTTTTTTTTTTAGGTACAGTTACTTTTTCCATTAAACTCTCCCTGGAACTATGTAACTGTGGAGACAAAGTGTTGAAGAGCAGCCAAAGCAAACAAAAGGTTTACAGGTGTGTAGTGAGATGTGCTATGATGTACGACAAAATGTCGTAAAGACGGGGAGACATTGCCCGAGTTTAAGATGCTGAGGTCAGACTTGGCACTGGTAGAAAATGAGCATATCAGATGTTTTGACCTTGGAGAAGAGAAGAGAAGAGAAGGGACGTATGGTTGAGATGGTTTGGAGATGTGAGGATAAAATGGTGCAAATCAGTTGGGAGATGAAACGGCTCAGCAGGCAGAAAAAGAAAAAAAAACGGCAGACTTGAGTTGATGATGTACTGAATTAGTAAAGGAGGGCATGGAGGTTGTTGATGGTAAAGGATAAAGTGAGGTGGAAGCAAATGATCCGCTGTGATGACCCCTGCAGGGAGCAGCTGGTGGAGGAAGAACTTCAACAAAGTGTTCATTGTTGGCAAGTGGGTCAGATGAGGGAGATACAACAGCGCTAGTTTGGCTGTAACATTGTGGGTCAGATGAGGGAGATACAACAGCACTAGTTTGGCTGTAACATTTGGACGTGTACGATGTGAGCAGAACCCTATCTTTAATATTGTTTGAATGACTCGTGATTATTATTGAATTTGAATTATATATTATATATTTTATGATGAAAAAGTGTGTCTTTGTGTTACTTTTTGCATTAGAGACTTTAGCAAAAAGTCACGTTGTAGATACTAACTCTTTTTTTTTTAATTGCATATTTTTGTAATGTGTTGCGTGTGACCAGCGGCAGCCATTTGTGCGGCTGCTGAAAAAGAAGAAGAAACATGGAAAAAGTGGAATGGAGGAGGAGAGAGGAGAAAGGGAGGAGGGAAGTCAGACATGAAAAGGGGGAGAAAAAAAAAAGACAGACAGGGAGCACATGAGGCTGATGGTTTGTTTTCTCAAA